TTATTGCCATAAACAAAGCAAATTACTTCATTTCGGGCTTTCTTTCAATCCCTGATGCAGCTTAAAGCTATCATCAATTGGCCTAATTCTTAGTTTCTGAAAATTTCTGCATATATGGCCCGTATTTCACAGACTAACAAAGTCGGCTTTAGATGATTTCAAGATTCTGATACTTCATTCAAGAGTCTTTGGCAACCCATTGGATCTTGATGCTCATTTCATTCTCATTGCACCATTATTCTCCTCCCAACTTTGCTTGTTCCTCTAATGGGGTGTACAGAAAGTGGTTCGGACAAGCCATTTGCTTGAGAAACCATCATTATTTGCTCCATTGGATGTAAAGTATGAGAACTGATCTTCGAAACGATACGTCCATTTTGGTAATGTCCTTATGAACTGCTGTAAGACATTAATGAATATGAAGATTCTTGATTATCAAATATGCATGCCTCAGGATTCATCTTGGAGTATCAGATTGGATGTAGCATAAAGAAGCAGGACAATAATCAGATCAAAGTTTAGCTTTTGTGGCCTATTGAGACTTGAGCAGGAGCTATTCTTGTAAATATGATTCTGTGCTCAGAAGTTTAAATGACCTCTACTGATAATAGTGAATTTGGTATCTCTCGAAACCATTAACCTGAGAATGTCTTGTTAGGGTAGCAACAATCTGAAAGTAAATTTAAAAGGACTAGATGTTTCAATATTATTACTCAATGTAAATTCTGAGAGCTTTTTGCTGCCATTATTACTATAACAATGCAATCATGAATTGCGGGGATCACATAAATCAAACTTCATGTTTCGACTTTAAGTTCGGACAATCTACACATCTGATGATGATGTCCCAGTGTGCTGTTATAGTGTTATGGTTAAACATTGTTGTGAAGGCTTTGCTTCATATTTGAATTCTGCAGCAACTGCATCTTTAAGTACAAGCTCCCCCATCTCAAAATAAGATTATCATTTGCATGGGTATAAATAAATGGCAACGTATTTTTTATATCCCGAGTTTTATTAATCGTAATTTTGAGAATTCTCCTTTTTTTCTTAATTTCTTTCTTGATTTCCAGATTGCTAATTCACTTGGAAAAATATGCTTGATGATGATTTGATTCTAGGTTGATTTCATTTAGGAGTACCAGCAGGGGCGGTGGCCGCTCTTCTCCCAAATTTTTAATTAAGGAAAGATTAATTCTTTTAGTTTAAAATTTTTAAAAATTATAATTTCGCCCCTGCTCCATAGAAAAATATCATTTTGCCCCACCTATTAGAGATTCCTGGCTCCAAAACTGGAGGCAACCCCTCTATTGTTGTCACCTATCTCTTTCTGAAGTAGGGCTTGTTTGGCCAACTTTCATTTTGCATTTTTGTCTCATTTTGCCTCTTAAAATAACTCTCAAACACAAATTCCAATACTTTCCAAACAAATTTTTAATTTACCTTTTAAAAAATAATCCAAAATATATTTTTACACAATTTTCGTCCACCATCACTAGACCAGCTCCACCACCACCCGCTGCCACCGGACCGCCCACCGCCACAGTCGGCCCGCGACCGGCGACAGTCCGGAGGCGGCGGTGGACGGTCCGGCGGCGGCGTCGGTGGTGGAGGTGGTTCGGTGGTGGTCTAAAAATATTATTAGTTTATTTAAAATATTACCCAAACAATTTTTTAAATTTTATTTCAAATCACATTTTAAATCACATCTCAAACCTGAATAAAAACTAAAATAAAATGGTGGCCAAACAAGTATAGTAATTTGTTTGTGCATCCATTTCTTTTTTGGTTTGAAAAGTAAGTGGTATTTGTTAAAGGCTGAACTCCTTTGGTCTTTGGAAGCCATTAAAAAATGAAAGAAAAGAAAAAAAAAAAAGGCAGGTTTCAGGAATTTGAAGTTGTTTTGTTCAGCGGCCCATTTCTTACATGACAAAAGTAGGCATGTAAGAAAATTTAATTTTTTTAATAGTAGGACATAAATTAATGAAAGTTAAGATTATTTAGATATATAGTAGAACGTCGGTAAATTAATAATCCATAAATTAATAACTTTTAGCAATTAATAATTTTTTCTGGTCCCATCTTGGGACCAGTACAAAAAGTGAAAAAAAAAATCGATAAGATGATAAGATAATAATGTTTCAGAAAATTTCCTATATATCTATAGGTTCTAACAATGTCATAAATTAATAATTACCCTAGCAACAAAAAATAATAATAATTACCACAAGCATTTAGTAAAATATGGAGTACTAATACTTGTTCTTTAGTCCCGGAGAATGAAATGAACTATACATGGATTTCTAGTGTTCATAATAGTTTTAATACTTGATTGATTCGAATGTAAAGACAACTACAAATTAAGTAATTTAGTGACGGTTATCTTTTCTCTCATACAAATTCTTTAAATTAATAATTTATTAATTTATCGATTATTTAATATTTCGCTAAATCAATAAATTTTGATAGTCCCAACACTATTAATTTATAAAAGTTCTACTGTATATATCTAATTATATATAACCAAGTCATTCAATTACCTTTCCTTCTCACTTCTACAGCCTATTAGCTGAACACAATGATTTTGATATCTTTAACACAGTTATTAATATTCGATGATTTTTATTTTTTAATTCATTTTTGGTAAAAGAATGCGAAATGTTGTTGGCTTTTTCTTTCATGCATTTCACTTGCATGACCCATCCGATTACTAATTTAGTTACTGCATAACTTAGAGATGAAATGAATACTTGCACATGAGAGCACTTTTATCTATCCAAAATTTTGCCGACTTTGAATTAACTCATTAACACGATTTTATTATTGTTTTAGAGTTGGTTTTTTGTTTTCCACCGACGAAGTATGTGTACGTAAAAGATAAAAAGAATTCGACCTTTGTGACCAAATGAGAATGTGTATTAGTATTTATATAATAATAATTTTTATTCTTTTCGCCTCGAAAAATATATATGTACATTTTATTGTGTCATTTTAGTTCAGTATAGTTGATTATTTTCGTGAAAATCCATAATAATAAATTAATTTGATCTTCTAGGTGAGCTGATTTAAAAGGAAGAAAAACAAAAAGTATTATCTTCAATGGTTTTATAGGTATGTTATATTTGTGAATACATGCAAACTGGTGTTATTCGATCCAATAAACTGTTAAGATTGATACGCAAAGCATTATTACAGCGGGAAACGTACTTCCTTTTCTTTGATGAGGCAAATGGAGTAAATTATTTTAGGTGAATGGTTATTGATTAGTTCTACCTGAACCAAGTTAGATCGAACTTAGTTGTACCCATCAGGATTAAGGACCCATCCCTCCACAAAGTCAACCTAACGGGTCCATGTTATTGTCGACATCCTATTTATGTCATAGGATCACACGAACACAATAAAGAATACTATGATCTCTACTTCTCTAGTAAACTAATCAAATGAAATTTTGTTTTAAGTTTTCCATTCAATTGTCGGTTGATTTGCTGTGAACTTGGATCTAGAATTAATTTTTTAAATTCCCTTACACTTCACCTTCCCAAGTTAGATACAGAATTTGTGAAATTGTATAATTCCTTTTTTTTTTTTTTGGTTTGTTTAAAGAAATTTTTGTATAAGACAATGACCAAAGTAAATTACCTAAATAGGAGGTTTAAGGATGTTAGTGATGTATCCATTTTTATCGGCGAGTTAATCAACATTTTACTTCTTATATGCAAGAAATATATATATAAAAAAAAGTGGATCAATATAAATCTACTTAAAATGGATAATTACATGTTTCTCTAAAATGATATAAATCTGGCTGAAAAGGAATGATAAAATTTGGAGAAACCAATCTCATGATCCGGCGGTATCTTGGAGACTTATCTAAAATGAAATCACTCTCCACAAGCAAAGCCTTGTTAGATTGATAGTTGGAAGACCTTCTCCCAACATACAATCACCACTACCATAGAGGGGTCCGACTGATTCCTTAGTCATTTTTTATGATCGTTTAGCCATCAAACCCGCAAAGTGGCTGGTACTTGGAAGATATTATCACATTATGATATGGTGATGCAAATCAAAGCGGTGGACCTAGGTGTGCTTTTTCCTTTTCAAGCCGAGGCAATGACTTGTCTCTTGGCATTGAAAGAGTCGTTACATTTAGAGATCACTCGACTTCAAATTTATACGGATTGTGAAGCTCTGACTGGAGATTTGCGGTCTGCTTTAATACCTTCTGAGGCAGTTTCTTTGTTAGTAACTAGTATTTCCTTATTTCGGTCTTGCTCATTGATTAAAGTGAGTAGACAAGATGTTGTAGAAATTCATAATTTAGCATTCCATAGAATATGATGTAATAGATCAGGTACTTCTTAATTAATATACAGGTACCTTTAAAAAAAAAAAACTAAAAATTAGGCTATTATTTTTACTACGTTTTCTTTACTAGTTCATTGCTAAAGAGTACTGATACTTTTTACGAATCTTAGACGATTGAGATTCTTTATTGATTTCAAAGCAACCTAATGTAATTAGTCCTATTATAATCTCTGTCCATTATGTATTTTCGTTGAATTAAATAAAACTATAATAAGCAAGATTTATAAGTCAGATGGATAAAGTATACTTTAAACTTTCATTATCGATTAATAGACTAAATTTTTACCCAATGTGAATTATTATTTATATATTATTATTTTTTTTTGGCAGGAACTCTAGAATGCAAATTATGTTTTCTTTAATTAATTATGTTTTTAACTCAAAAAAATTAGTTACGTTTTCATTTTATTGGGGAAGGAAACGAAAGAGAATAATAGTTAACTACATCGTTCGGGTCAGACAGATACAACTAAGGTTTGACCAAAAAAAGAAAAAAAAAATCATTAGTTTTTTTTTTTTTTTCTGGTGGAAAATACTATGATTCAACACCTCATAGTTTTGTATGTTCATCTAGAAATTTTAATGAAACAAAAAAAATCGAATCTTTATTATATATATTCTTATTTTAGAAGAAAGTGCAACGCATTGCCTAAAGCACCTAAAGTCACGTTACATCTGGACAAAGCTCAAAAAGGTTTTTATAAAAACAGCAACTCTTTTCCGTTGTCCACTTCCAAGAACAGCTTATTAATCTCCATAAATGTCGAATTTTCTAAACTGAAATGTTATTTATGCAACCGAAATTTCCCAGATGGTATTTTCAAGAATTTTTTGTTTTTTTTTTTTTTTTTGCTCCTGCAGACACTCTGCCTTTGACGGGAGATCCTTGTCTACTTCAAACTCGATCAGAATCTTAGCTCAGGAGGAAGCTCATTAGGTAATCTGAGTGGTTTTTTTTTTTTTTTGTCTTTTCCATTTTTATTTTTCAGTTTTTCTGTATTTTGGTGGTGGCCCTTTTGAGAATTGGTTGATATTATCGACCCAAATATGACGAATTTGCTCTTGGTTTTTGGTTGCGTATTTTTCTGTTTCTTGAAGTAGTATTTGTGTTGTACTCTTCTTCTCCTACCAGTTTTGTTTGGTAAATGGTCTTATCCTTCACCAAAAAGGGGTTATCTTGTTATTTTTTTGGGTGTAGAGTTTTGGTGAAATATTTAATATTTGATACCGTGCTCTTTTATATTGGGCTTGCAGGGGATACTCTGGAAACCCAGAGCTGGATTTGATTTTAGAGTTGGAATATGAAGAGAAAATTAACTTCCTGGAGCCCCCTTTTATTGTTCAGCTTGATTTGAGACTTTACTCTTGGGTTCTATGTTTGGAGGATTGTACTCCCTGGAAATAAATTAATCCTTTGAGTATTAGAGCTGAAGATGAAGATTGGTGGCACTTTTTCCGTGTGAGAAACTTCAACTTTATTAGTTATCTGAGCTGCAATGAGGTATTTTTAAGGGAGTATTTACTGCCTTCAAGAGTTATCAAAAAACAGTCTTTTGAGTTTTGCTGTGCTTAATGGCTTCAATGCCGGAGAAAAGTATGCTGCCCTCAAGATTTCTTTCTTGCCTTATAGCCATTTCAATGTTTCTATTACTCTTGTCATCTTTGTCCCTACTTCAATTCTGCGGCAATTCTTACATAAACTCTTCTGTTTTTCGGTTTATCCTAGTTAATACTTCGTCTTTTTGCTCAAAATCCGATCACATTCTTTCTGAAACATCAATTATACAAGAGTTGAGAACTCAAAAGGCTCCTTGTGTGAACTCCACCAATAGAGTAGGTAGATTGCCACATGCTGGACAGGGATCATGTGATTCTAGCCGGGCTATCCTTAAAGTTTACATGTATGACTTACCTCCTGAATTTCACTTTGGTTTGTTGAATTGGCGAGGAATTGGGAAAAAAGTTTGGCCTGATGTCAGTAACCTAAATGAAGTTCCCGCTTACCCTGGTGGTTTGAATCTTCAACACAGCATTGAGTACTGGCTCACACTTGATCTTCTTTCGTCTAATACTCCAAATGTTGATAGACCATGTACTGCAATCAGAGTGCAGAATTCAACAGAAGCAGATATCATCTTTGTGCCGTTCTTTGCATCATTAAGTTACAACCGTCATTCTAAGCCTCGCGGGGAGGCGAAAGTGAGCCTCAACAAAATACTGCAAGATAAATTGGTGGATTTTCTAAAGAGCAGGGAGGAGTGGAAACGGAATGATGGAAAGGATCACCTCATAATAGCCCACCATCCAAATAGCTTATTGACAGCAAGAAAGAAGCTTTCTTCTGCAAGATTTGTGCTTGCTGACTTTGGGAGATATCCCCCTCAAATAGCCTATCTTGATAAGGATATTATAGCTCCCTATAAGCATATGGTGAGGACAGTTCCATCTGCTGACTCTCCTCCATTCGAGCAACGGCCGACATTGATGTATTTCCAAGGCGCCATATATAGGAAAGCTGTAAGTGATTGCATTTCTTTTCCCTATTCGTTTACTATTATGTAATTTGATTGTGGCTTTATATCTATGGTTTGATCCTCAGGGTGGAATAATTCGACAAGAACTGTTCTATCTTCTCAAAGACGAAAAAGAAGTTCACTTCACATTTGGAACTGTTCAGTCCAATGGTATAAGACAGGCAGGCCATGGCATGGCCTCATCCAAATTCTGCCTCAACATTGCTGGAGATACTCCCTCATCCAATCGTCTTTTTGATGCCATTGCTAGTCATTGTGTCCCTGTTATTATCAGTGATGACATTGAGTTGCCTTTCGAAGACTTTTTGGATTATTCAGAGTTCTGCATATTCGTACGCGCATCAGAGGCTGTGAAAAATGGATACCTTCTCAATCTCCTGAGAGGAATCAAGCGAGAGAAATGGACCGAAATGTGGGAAAGGTTGAAGGAAATTACAAAACATTACGAGTATCAGTATCCATCGCGACCTAATGATGCAGTGGATATGATTTGGCAGGCAGTTTCAAGGAAGATATCTAATTCACAGTTAAATGTTCACAGAAAAACTCGATACCAGAGAACAGATATGCTTCTGAAAGCCGAATAGTCTAGTATGTTTCTTCTGACATCTCATCCAGCTATTTATTCAGAGCAAAGATCATTTTACAAGAAGTTCATGCCTTATGAACCAGGTTGAACTTCAAGAACACAACCATCTGTTGGTTATTTAGGGAGGAACTTAAAAGAGCTATCTTTTTGTTGTAGATCCTGTTTCCCCCCTCTTCAAAACCCTCCTGTATTCTGTAAAGTAAAGACCTTGGGGAAATTCTATATGGGAAAGTTATGCAAAATTTCAGTTCTACATTTTCTAAAAACCAGGTACACAACATGCTAAAGGGTAAAGACACATGTTACTGTACAGGCAATTTCCGGTTGGGACAATATTGTCAGACAAAAAACTGAAAACCTAGCTCAAAACAATCAAAGAAGTTAAGAGGAGATCAGTCTGAGATTGAAGGTTGTTTTATAGACAGGTAAAGAAAAAATTGATATTTATACACAATTATGAGTTGTGCTATAACAGATTCAACTGCATTACCTCAGTCTATCTATTGGATTATAGAGTGCCTCAAACTAAATCTATAACAAACATTAGAAACTGCCATAAACCTGCTAAAGTGTATACTCCATCTCATGTCCGCATCCATGTTGACCGCAAACCAGCCTGTAGTTTCATCATCCTTCCTTTCATCCTGTGCCGCCTTTACAACAATCACTTGAAAGAATTTTACTTTAGGTGGTATCAGCACCTGTTATGAATAGGGTCTGAACCTCTTCGAACTCTTCGTTTGTCCGACTGGTTGGGATCAAACATCATTGCAGGTGAAGGGGCTAAATTCTGCTGCACAGGCATATCTTCCAAGCCCACAGTGCTCAGAATACGTGAGCTTCTCTTAAACAAGAATTCAGCCTGCGGTAATCTAAGTGCAAGATCCATGCTTCTAAGACTAGAAACCGTATCAGGTTGGATACAGAAGAAGAAGCCAATATAGGCAAGAAGGATGATCATTCTGCAAGGAGAGAAGCAGCACATTTTTTCTGCCGTTCAGAGAAGCCAAAGAGAAACAAACAACGGGTATGTCTTCTTTTAGGCAAATGGCAATCAGAATAAGGTTCCTTGTTGAAAAGAGTATAGGCTACACAACTTGAATTTCTTTATTTATGCCTCATTCTTGAACAGACAGATAAAAAACTTACTGTGGAAGCCCATTTTCCTTTTTCATGGGATTTTGAAGACTAAAGGTATAAAGCATAATGGGGTCCCTGGAACAATCATCAGAAGCTAGGATTCACTCAATGATAAGCCTGCCATAGAAGTTATATATAAGGCTGTTTTAGAAGACACTGACTGGTTTGAACAAAAAAAGTAATAGAAATTATAACTGGGAACATCATTCTAGGGAAGCCAAGAATCTTTTTTGTTGTTGCTTCCCTACAATCCCTATCATTGCCTTCTCTTTTGGACCAAACAATGACCAGAGAATAAGACCAACTCTAGACCTGCTGGCCATGTCATCGAGTCATATGCCACGTGTTTTCGAATTTCTTACATTGCCCGTCAATTAAATCTCAGCGAGACAGCTGAATCACCTGTAATTCCAGCTGAAGTGATTGGGGTGAATACATATGAAGAAACACACAAATAATGGCCATCGTTTTTTAGATTCTGGTAATATCTATGATAAAATGGTATCGTTTCACCAATGAAATACGTTTACTATGAGAAGATTTGACTGAGAATCTGATCTCATAACATTCTACATCATAGCTCATTATTTTGCTTTCCATCTTCACTTAATTTGTGTCAAGATAATTCTAAACTATGAAAAGCATTTTCATATGCTGTTTTTTTGGATTTAGGAATTCACATATTTCAAATACAAAATATATTTAAGTGGCTCCTTCATTTGATGGAAAAGAAGGCATAAGCAAAGCAAAGCCAAAGCCAAAGCCAAAGTAGAGAGGTTGCTACAGGTGCAAGAAAGCTAGATAAAGCTGGGGGAATGTTGGGCAATGTGGTATGTGGGGGATAAGAAACTCATCAAAACAAAATTTAAAATAAAACCAGATGTTTGCTTTATGCTCAACATCACTTTAGATTTACAGAAGCTCTGGTCTCCATGCAAACCAAAGAAAAAAAAAACAGTCTTGGTTATTTGTGCTTTATTGGATTATGCTTTTTTTTGGGGGGGGTTTCCTATTCCTTTAGTTGTTGATGCCATAACTCAATCCATTTCAAAATCTAGTCACAGAATCCAAATGGTTCTTCCTTCTCCTACACACATTTTTCTGCTGTTGCAATGCGATAAAAGTGGACCATTTCAATGCTGAAAAAGTGGTCGATCATCAACTAAACCCCAATAGGATGAGTAGGAAGAGTTGTAATACAAATCCAAAACTGAAATGCACAAGTCCTTTGGGCACGACTTGGCGCGGGACCTGGTGAATGCACAAATGATGCCAGGCTGAACTAGCAAAATGATTCTATAACTAAACAAATCAGCTTCTATACCATTGCGAAGTTGGTGGAACATTTTAAGGTTAAGGAGTCAAACTGGGAACTGAAGACACAAGTGACTGTATTATACTCCAGACAATTTGTGGTACTTAAAAGGGTTGAAGATAATAAAAGAAACTACGAAATGAGAATTTAAACCTGAGTGCTGGTAGAACAACTTCCACCATGATATATTCGCCCAATGTTTACAGATATGGACGAAAATAAGTTTACATACATAACTCAGACTTATCTCTACAGTTGACAATTTCATCGTTAATTAAATCTCCAACTTAAAAACAAGTATCAGAAGCAGCCATAAATCTTGCTACTTCCATAACGTACAAGGACCCAGGACGAATGATTTAGGGAGGGAGTATAAAAGCTCCGAAGTACATTACAGAGACAAGCTCGGCAGAAGGTAGAAAACCCTTAGTCATGAAGCTGGTGCCAAATTGCAGAATTAACCACAAGTTATTCAACAGGTACATTTACTACATGCTCATTCGGTGCTATAAAGGCTGGTGCTGCTGCAGAGGCTGGAGCTTCTGTAGAAACTGGTGTTGACGTAGGCACTTGAGCTATCCTGACTTGAATGCCTCTATGTTGCCCGGCCTGCAGCAAAAATGCAACTTCAGCGGCAGCCAGTGATGCAGCTTCCTGGTTCAGGAACGAAACAATGAAAAGAGCTATTAATACAATAAGAAATGTTTGCAAGTTTAGCAAATGAAGCTAATGACTACAACAGGATAATCAATTAATGGTTTCCAAAAATATTTGAAAGAAGGTTTATGTAAATTAATCACCCACACTTGACTCACCAACATGTATGATATTGGGGGTTGGGGGGGTGGGTGGCGGTGCTTTTTGGTAAAGAAAAGAGACCAACTATTTGACTTGATCACCGGAGATAATAGAAAAAAGATTATCGGATGAAGTTAATTGTTAAATTACCATCAAATTTTGCTTTTAATTCAGACAAGAGAAATAAAAGTTGACATGAACATTTTCACAAGACCCCTAACCTGTCTTTGCCGACGACGCTGCAATATACTGATAGCCCAAGCCATGATATAGCAGGGAAGAAGGAAACCAGCAGCCCTAAGCAAGAAGAGCTACAGAAGTAGAGAATAAAATCAATAAAAGAAGAAGCAATATATATCAAGTGTGAAGTGGAAGCGAGATAAAACTCAAAACACGTACAGAGAAGAAGGTTGAAACATCATCATCATCCCCATCACCGTCTCCTATAGTAAGAGCATGCCTCAAGAGTAGAAGAGCCATTAGCTGCCATAATAGAAGATTTCCAAATATTAGTTGGAAGCATAGTGACGTAATCACAGTGAATGAAACATGTATTATTTCGCAATTATTGTGCCATTGACCCTTTAGGTTTTTTTTGGGGGGGGGGGGTGCGCAACGTAGCACCATTGGGCATACCCCAAGCAAAACCAATTCATTCGAGGAAAGAAGGAAATGGATAATACTTAATCAATTTCTGGAGAGAAAATTACAGTGTCAAAGTCACAAACTTACAATTAAAGCAGCTGAACGACAGAATGCAGCTCCACTCGCACTTGAATCAGCATATTCATCATAATCAGATTCCAAAAGACGGCGTTCAGCGGCAGCCATAGCTAAAAGTCGGGGTCACGCAAATCTAAAGGAGTGCCAGCAATTGTCCACCCATCACTGCCAAAGCAAAACCAAAATGAAGACAGGTCTCAGATAATAAGAAAATGGAGTAAAATCACATAACAATGAGTCAATTACAGAAATAACCTCTCAGAAGCACAAAAGGTTAAAGTTCTAGCAATTTCCAAACAAATTAGAAAGCAAAAGTTAACAATCACATAAAGTTAGAAGCATAAGATGGCTATTTACATGTCTTGTAATCCCCATAATATTTGAAACTCCTAAATTCTTTGAAAAGTGAAAACAGTCACGCTAGAAAATTTAACCACCATGTTGGTACTACACATATATAGATTCTTAGCATTGATTCCATTTCAAGTCCCTGATAGAAACCAGAAACACAAAGAAAGCAGCTTCTTGTACAAAAGCACTAATCTCTACCACTATATTCATCCTCATACTATCATGAAAATTAGATTCTGGAATGAGAACAAATGAAATAAGAACATGCCTGATGTCAATAGCTGTGTCTTCAGGATGCATAGGAGGTGGAGCAGTATAGTTAGGTTGGTACGGCTGCATATTAGAAAAAGCCAAGACATGATCATCAAGAATGGCATAACCTCAAAACGAAAAAAAGCTACCATAAATCTAAGACAACAAAATATTTGTATATCATTTAAAGAACACACCTCTTGCACGATAAAACAATAATACGAGCCCAAAACAAACAAACCAAGGGACAAAAGGAATAAAAAAACAGCGTATCACCCAAAAAATTCATTCCCCCCTAAAAGGATATTCTCAACTTGGTTTCGCTATGTAAAATTGAAGTTACGCAATAGAATAAACTAAAGCCCACATATTCAATGGAAGAGACTACATAATGGAATGGCTCATGATTGTTGATGAGATTGCATATGATTCTGCAAAAATCCTACAAAGCACCAGCATTTATAAGCACGACGAAAAAACAACTTGATGCATCTGTTCTGTTCCATAAGGTCAGAATTTATTCAGCCTGAATGATCAAGCTACATTCTTTGTATCCTAAACTTTAGATAGCTCACAAGTGCAAGGCTTCAAGATTTGCAAAGAAACCCAACCCCAAACCCTTCCAACACCCCCCAACCCCGGGGAGTGATTTTCCTCACTTTTCAAAGTTATTTTATTAAAAATGGAGTTTAGCACCATGTGTTGGACCAGAAAAGAAATCCATAGACTAGCCCATAGTATTTATACTTTCTTCGAAAGGTCCACCAGCTACAACCAAAAAGCCATCAGTGAAATGGAAACAAAAGCTTGTAAAGGGAGAGAGCTCCCTCTCACATCTACAGCAAAGATCTACCATTTCTTCTCTCAAATGAATTTATCGTGCATGTCACTAAAGAAGAAAATTGGACGAGCCAAAACCAAAATTACCATGATTTAGCATCAATAGGTAGCTGAAACACAAACACCATGATCTAAATGCATATGCAGTAAAATTTAATCAATGACATTGCTGCTCCAGCTTTTTCTTTTGGTACAATTAACCCTTTTTTACCACTTATATGGGTTTGCAACTTTTAGTGTTCCCAGGTCCAATGGACCTACCTTTCTTTGGCAGCAATCTAATCAGGCTTAACACTACTGAACTGATAAAACATTGCAGAAAGTTAATCCTTAACCTCTGTAAGGTCTGAATGTCTAACGATCCTAATAATTTCCTATCCTAAATCTTCTTCAACATCCACATGCCTCTATTCCTAGCCCCCAACCAAAGCCCCAACAGCAGAATCTAATTTTCCTCTCCTCAAACCAGGTTAAATAAGGGAATGTCCTGTAATATTCAGAAACAAAGTTCTCCTGAACATTACAGGATATCCCCTTATAATTAGTGGCAGGGACTGCCAAATTCTACCAATATAGCACTGATGGAAATGTGAAATCTTTAACCCATAATCCCTCGGTGCAATTGACAAAAATACAGAATACGAAACAAAATATGGCAAGAAAGAGGGCCATTGATTTCTTGAGGGAATGATTGGATAAAAGGATAAGAGGAACTGAGCATGGATCAAGGGAAATCAGGTTCTGGTGTTAAGTGTGTGCTTCAGTGATTGCACATAAAGTTGTGACACGTTAATCACTCAACTGTATAACCAAAAGCATGGAGGTAAAGATAGTCATTGCACATTACTATGAAATATTTGGTAGGTTGGAATGTCATTTATTAAAGATCAGAATATATTTCAAGAACTACACAGTCTAAATGTGAAGCGGCCTAAAACGATAGATAGACAGAAGTTCAAAGAATTACATTGTTATTTTGAAGCACTTAAGAAGCGTAAGAAAATAAGAAAAAGAAATACTGTAATAAACATTCAAGGGAGCAGTGGCTTACTTGATGACATATCTCACAAGTTATGTCTCCCTTCTCATTGCACCATCGCTGAACACATTCCCTATGAGCAAACTATTTTCAGACACAGAGAAGAAAATTTCCAGTATCAGGAAAAAGTCATCTAACAAGTCAAATTACAGAAAACTCCAACCAATGCATTACTCACAAAAACAGATTGGGAACAACAAACCAAGTCAAACAATACAGAATTGAATCAGTTCCTAGACAAAATTAGAAGCTCAAGGTACCAACTCCTCAACCTTGTGGGATTTAAAACCCACTTGATCATACATTTGCATTCTCATACCACCCTCAAGCTAAATTAATCTATAATGAACATAAACTACCATAAAACCTAATAAAAACAAAGAGAGAAAATGGAATTCAAAAAACCCACTTGGTCTTCAGTTATCATTCTGAAACCCACATTCAAGTTAAATCAAATTAGGTATGTATAGAACGAGTAATATGCAACTTTGATCTGGTTTGTTATCAGTATACAAGCATCATATTTTCTTACACCATTGTATTCCGATTAGATCTTCTCTTTTATTGAAACTATATTAGTCAAACTATCATGCTCTAAGGTCTAAACAATAAAATCTACATGTTAAACAGGAAATTAAAAATGAAAAAATTGATAAGGTCCCTATCATCCCACGCTTAAGATGGAAAGGTAAAAGGCAATATTCAAGGAGCCAAAACATGTAGAAGTACAATAATCATTACTAACCCTTGACAAGAAGATTCAACAACAAAATGCAAAAGCAAAATTATAGAGCGGCTAAACATGCGAATATTGGAAAGCAGATAATTTTTTAAGAATTTGCATTGCTAAATTGTACACCATTTGGGAACTCAAGCAACTGGGCTGAAAGTTAAAATGTTCATTCTAAGCATTAAATATCAAATCTCATAAAGGCCACAAGTTAAACCAACACGCACGTAGCAATTCACACCCATGAAAAAGGTACCTTTAAACTTCCATTGCAAGCACATGGAATTTCCAAGTTTTTAATACTATCCTCTTCCTGGCAAATTCGACATTCAACAGTTTGGATTAGGGGTTCATCTTCACCACCAATGCCTTCATCTTCCTGAATATCAACAGTTGAAATGGAAACAGAAGGATCAACTGAGTGGGAACTAGAACTCTCTTTAGAAGCAGCAATGGTCTGAACTCCTTGAGTGGATTGCAATGATTCAGGACTCTTTAGGCGATCAACAGCAAGGATCAAGTCCTCTCCCATTACTTTTCAGTTTACGAGCTTCTACAGCAAAAATGAACAAAAACTTAGCATTCCCCATTAATCAGAACAACCAGAAAAGCTACCATAATCCCTCCTAGTTCACTTAAAGCACTTTTTCGGCATACAAGCAGACTAATGCAATTATCTTCGAAGAAATTATATTGAAAGCAAGTGAATTGGCATAAAAAACGCAACCAAAATACGTTGAATCACATTTCTAAATAGATTTCAAAGAACAGTATATTAAAGTAGCCAGAATCCAGTCAACAACATCTTTATCATTGTAAGTTGGAGACAAGGGAGATATTCAGCAGCCAAATGAATATCACAAGCACCAGTGATTATTAAATCAAGCAAATAGAAATAAGGAGTAAAAGGAGGAGCCCAGATTGTAATAAACTAGCAATCTTCAATAGCAAATTACCCAAATGGTAAACGACAAGCTCAAGAGTCCAGATACGGGATGCCCATTTCACAATTTTCAATTGATAGAAAAATACACAAATTAAGTAACAGAATAATTGTAGAATACTCAAACAACAACAAGAAAGGATAATCCAGAGGAACATATCACAAAAAAATCCGTCAAAGACCAGAAAGTATCAATCTTTACAAGAAACTAAACGCACAAAAGCGAGCAGAATTAAATCAAAAATGAAAAATCCTTCCATAGGGGTAAAGCACAATCAAGCAGCAATCAAGTCCAGAAACTGCACTTACAAATTTAATCGAGCTATAGGTCACCAAAAATATTGGGGGAAAATTGGGTTTCTGAATTTGGGATTTTTTGTACTTTGATTTTGCAGCCCAGATGAACATAAACAGATAAAAAGTCGTCTGTTGAAAAATGGATGACGGAATTGATTTGGTAGCTTCGTGAATTTTGAACTAATCTTCTCAAGACTTTGCACCGTCAGGGGGACCAATTCAATTTATGAAGCAGTCGGTATTTTGATAATTACTTAATTTAATTCATTTCTATTTTTATTTATTTATTTTTCTGTTCTTCTGTTTGTTCGTTGAGAGTTGAGACCTCCTGTCTAACGTTTGCGTATTTTAGCGTGTTTTTCACAGTTGACCTTGCTACCTATTTTCCAGAGTTTACTTGCAAACAATATCACTCCCTCGAGTTTCGCTATTTTCCAGATCATCCCTCAACGATTGAGAAATTTTTGCATTGTGCACCATTTTTCATTTTAACTCTATCCTTTGAAAATTTCAGTAATTGGTAATGAAGTGATGATATTGATACTAATAAAGAATGAAGAGTTATGCAGAAAAGTATTGTACACATTGATTGAATACAATTATGCAAGTAATTTATATCTCTATATCTCCAATATATTAAAGGAGAGTTTTCAATCAGACACATAGCGTAAATTCAGATAAGGTAATCCACGTGGCGCAAAATTGGATACCCAAGTCCAAATGTTGCAACCATATCACTCTATCATTTAATAATAATTTTTTAATGTAAAATAAAATTGTAAATTTATAGATAAAACTAAATTAAAATAACATTAAGTTCATGTAAATTAAACTTTACCCCCAACTACATGTGCAAATCCTATGTTCATGTTAATTAAATTTACGCCAAAAACAACATCATCAAATACAAACACACACTATTCCTTCGTGGACACAATTGCTTATGGGGTATTGAATAGTCATTGAATTTTTAAGGGATGTAGACTTGAACTAAAAAGAGGATTTTGATTTTCTTCTAACATTATACTTCAGAAAAAATTAACAACTACATCTATATAATGTCATCGGCAAATATTTGAAAATTTTTGCAGTTTATGGACGCAAATATTCCCAAAAGTGGTTGGCAAAAATTATTGGGGTGTCCCATAATTTTTATGATCATTGTGGAAGTATTTATCATCAATGGCGGCAAAACTTTTGCTATTTTCATCTTTCAGTTTTTAATTGCTTTGAAATTGTTTTCGTTTCTTGATGGTACCTGTTTGAGTATATTAAAAGAATTTCAAATTTCATGCACATGGCAAAAAATTTGATACCCAATTTCACATGACCACATCACTCTATTATTTAGTAATAATTTTTAATATAAAAGTGTAAATTTATAGATAAAATTAAATATATATTAAAAATATATAATAATAATTGTAGTAGAATTCTAACAGGACACATTAATTCTTCCTTAAAAATATATATTAAAAAATATATATTAATGATGATAATCAAAATATATTACCATTACCTTTAACGGGCACAAATCATAAAATTATATGTGATTTTTAATGGCAACATATCCATTACATACATGTAATTTTTTAAATATACGATATAAAGACACATATTAACCATAAACTTAGATATATTGATTTTTAACGGTAACATATCCATTAGATATATGTGGAATTTTAAATATACGGGTATAAATTAATGGGCGCATGAATTATGTGCCCATAATGGCAAAAATTAACAAGTAAAGAGTAATATTAATATTTCATTTATATTCGGTGCCCGTGATATAATGGGTAGTTTAACGGGAAATATAATTATATCCAACAAAATATAACGGGTAATATATTTTTTGCCCATTATCGGGCAATACAAAAAAATGATTTCTGTTGATTATTTTGTTTAAAAATTATAAAAGAAAAAATAATTGGATAAATAACAAGTATATATGCTTAATTATAAATGTTTACGGCATCTCATAGCCTAATAAAATTAAACTGTATACGTTATTATTTCAGAAATTACACAACATAATAAGATAAAATAATTTATCAACGTGATTATACTATAATCAAATATATATTTTAATATATTATCCAAAATTATTTCATCATAGTTAAGAGAATTAATACTACATACCAGTACTAAATACATTTTTTGTTGTCTTTTTATTTGCAGATGCATCTTGGAATTCAGTAGTAGCATGCAATTTTTATCAATAAATTTTCTAACCTTGACAATGATTAGTAATCTACAGCAAAATATAACAAAATCAATTTGATGATGCCTTATATCTTTTTGAATCTGACACATGGCATAAAATTAGATATGCTAATCCACATGGCAACAAATTAGATAGCCAAATTCACATGTCGTAACCACATTACTCCATCATTTAATGGTAGTTTTTTATTTGTAAATCTGTAAAAAACTAATTTTACCCCCTTAATTTTTTCTTTTTGTGAAGCTGCAGACTTCTCTTACAAAATGACCAGCCAAACCGCCTTCCTTCTGCACCCATTTTTGGTTTTATATTGGAGCTTTAGGGATAACAAGGGGTTATATAATAAGCAAATCGAAGACAAGGCATTCTCCACGAAAAAATTCAAGAAAATTCTCCACGAAAATTCTTCTATTTTACTAGGGATGATAGGGATTAATAAGAGGCTATATATTTACATATAGTAATTCTCCACGAAAAATTATTTATTCCAACACACTTTTCTTCCCACATAGGCCAACTGAGATTTGTAAATTCTTGGTCAAAACCCAATTGATAAAAGCTTCCCCAAGTTTCTCTTCAGGGCCAAACTAAATCAAGATGTCACAATATCTAACTTATTATAACAATCATTGTAATATATCACTTTGGTCCTTCAAATCTCCATCTCATTATAACAATCATCATAATAATGTGTGATATAGTACGGTTAAATTAGTGACGAGTTATAAATTAACCCTAGGCCTATTGGGCCTAGTATTAGGTTACTTGGGGATTAAACCACCGCCTAAACCTATTCTGCTAGGGTTTCAGGAAACATGTAACACCACCTCTATATAAAAAGGTGGTGTCTCCTCATAATTGATATCTTCTACACCTTCTACACACGATACACATCCTTCTCTCTCTACTCTCTCTATTCCTTTATTGACTTAAGAATCGGAGAGTCTACCCTCAGGAGACATCCGAGGCTTTGTCTTGCAGGTTTAAGGCCGTCCGCCACCACCTAGATCATCGTCGCCTCCCGTCCTAAGGCACTGTGCAGATTTATGCTTCGTCAAGTGGCACGCCCAGTAGGACCGATTTGTTTGGTCTTCACAACCAAATAATTTCTTGAAGCGAAGTTGAAATTTGTTGGTGCTTTACGCTGTGCAACATCACCAGCATCATGGCGCAAGACAAACAGCAAACAACTGCTACTGCCGCTGAAAAAGATAACCAGCCAACTCCAGCAGAACCATCCTCTAACATGCCGTCTGGTGGTTTGTTTGATCAAAACCTCATGGAGGCCTTTTTCAAATTTCAACCTATCTTGTTTAACAAATTCCATTTTGTGAAGAGCTTTCATGAGCTCGATGGCAATCAGCGACAACTCTTAGTAAATAACCTGGATACTTTTTCGAAAGATCGAGAGCCAAACCCTAGGGGCTGTTCTCGAGAACATCACACTATGAATCGAGAAGATGCTCATCTTTCTCGAGCAGACATATCTTCGACGCGAGTACCTTCAACCATCGAGGAGCAACTATGCAAGATTCTCGGACCTGCAGGAGGGGATCATGAAGAGGATGACAGTCCATTCATCCAACGCATCCGAGAAACACCCATCCCCGAGAAGGATCCACAAGCTCGAGCCACTCGAGCTCAATCTCCTAAGAAGTCCTTATGAACCACGTTCCTCGAGAAGACCACCACCTATCGACCATTGTTCTTCCAAGAACCTCCTTCTGTCGATCATTGTCTTCTCAAGAACCTTTCTCCAGCGACTACTCATCCATTCGAGGACCGTCCTCTCACGGACCATTTCTCTCGCAGAGACCGTCTTTTCATAGACCTTTGTCCTCCTGAAGATCGTCATCCATTCGAGGACCGTCCTCTCACAGACCGTTGTCTCTCGTAGAGACCGTCTTTTCATAGACCTTTGTCCTCCTGAAGATCGTCCTCTGGAAAGACCTTCCATTGTCGACCATTGTCCTTCCGGGGACCACCCCTTGTCGACCTTTGTCTTTCCAAGGACCCTGTCATTGTCGACCTTTGTCTTTCTAAGGACCCTGTCATCGTCGACCCTTGTCCCCTCGAGGACTTTCTTCTGTCGACCATCACCCTTTTGTTCATCTTGTAGGAACATCATGTTCGAGAACTGGGACAACATTACAGAAGTCGAGAAGCCGTCAAAACTCCAACCTCGTACTCGTAGCAACCCATATTCTTCTCATCAAGTCTTGAGAATATGGCTTTCTAGGGGCACTTGACGAGTCATAAATTAACCCTAGGCCTATTGGGCCTAGTATTAGGTTACTTGGGGATTAAACCACCGCCTAAACCTATTCTGCTAGGGTTTCAGGAAACATGTAATATCACCTCTATATAAAGAGGTGGTGCCTCTCTCATAATTGATATCTTCTAACTATCTTCTACACCTTCTACACACGATACACATCCTTCTCTCTCTACTCTCTCTATTCCTTTATTAACTTAAGCATCGGAGAGTCTACCATCGGGAGACACCCGAGGCTCTGTCTTGCAGGTTTAAGGCCGTCTGCCGCCACCTAGATCATTGTCGCTGCCCGTCCTAAGGCACCCTGCAGATTCATGCTTCGTCAATTAGATAAGACATCATCTAATAACACTCTGTTTATTTAACCACAGGGCAAATAAGTTCTACTATTTAGTAAATCATTTTAAAAAAATGTAAAATTATAAATTTATAGATAAAATTAAATTAACTAGGAGATTATTCCTTAATGGTAAATTTTAAA